CCGACTCCAGTTTCGGCTCCAGGACTGGCTTACCGGCCAACGCCAGCCTCCCCGAGTCCTGTCAGCATACCGGCCGACTCCAGCTCCTCGTCTCCAGTTGGCTGTTCAACCGACGCCAGCTCCCCGAGTCCTGTCGGCATACCGGCCGACTCCAGCACCTCGTCTCCTGCTGGCTCTCGAGCCGACTCCAGCTCCTCGTGTTCTGTTGGCGAATCAACCGTCTCAAGTCTCTTCTCAAGTACCCTCTCGAGTCACCTCTCGAGTCCCCATTCAAGACACTTCTCAAGTACCCTCTCGAGTCCCCTCTCGAGTCCCCTCTCCAGTCCCCTCTCCAGTCTCTTCTCGAGTCCCCTCTCCAGTCTCTTCTCAAGTCCCCTCTCCAGTCCCCTCTCAAGTCCCCTCTCGAGCTCCCTCTCAAGTCCCCTCTCGAGTCCCCTCTCAAGTCTCTTCTCAAGTCCCCTCTCGAGTCACCTCTCGAGTTCCCATTCAAGACACTTCTGAAGTTCCCTCTCGAGTTTCCTCTCGAGTTCCCTATCGAGTTTCCTCTCAAGTCTCCGTTCAAGTTCCCGCTCACGATCCCTCTCTCAAGTCAACTCTCAAATTTCCTCTCGAGTCTCCACTCAAGTCCCTACTCTTGTGCCGTTGGAGGTTCCGCTGGGGGTCCTGCCAACCTTATGTCTTGTGCCATTGGCGGCCCCGCCGACTACTCTTCTACCGGGGGCCCTGCCAATCCCATGTCCTGTTTCGTTGGAGGCCTCGACATCACCTGTATCGCCGGGGGTCCTGCCAACACCCGTTCCACCGGCTCCGGTTCCTGTCCGGTCAACACCGGCTCCTGCCCGGTCCCCTGAGAGCTGTGGTCTTCGCCCCTCCTTGAACTCTGCCTTGCCCCCGGGCCGTCCGCCCGAGTTCCCCTTTTTTGAACTCTGCCTTGCCCCCGGGCCATCCGCCCGAGACCCCCTTTTTGAACTCTGCCTTGCCCCCGGGACGTCCGCCCAAGAACCCATCCATGGTCTCTGCCTTGCCCCCGGGCCCTCTCCACCCACCCTGCTGGACTTTGTTTTTTGGGACGTCTGGGATCCGTCCCTTGACGGGGGGGTTCTGTCACACCCCCAGGTTTATGTCACGGGTTTTAGTGTTGTCTGTCTAGGTTTGGGTGTTTGCGGTCATGTTTTTCCTCCTGGGTTATTGTCTGGTCCTTTTCCCTGTGTTTTTCATGTCTGTCGTTAGTTCCCTGGTGTGTCTAATTCCCTGATTGTTTTCACCTGTCACTCCTCGTGTGTCTCCTGCGCCCATCAGTGTCAGCCCCGCCCCTGATTGTTCCCACCTGTGCCTTGTTACCCTGTGTTTAAATTCCCCTGTCTCCCAGTGTTCAGTGTCAGTTCGTCTTGTCTATTGTCATGTCAGGTCTATGCTTTTGGAACTCTTTGGGTTTTGATTCCTCACTGCGTGAGCGCCTTCATTTTTTTGTCCTCTGTTTTTTTTGTCATCTCGACTGGAGTTTTGGTGATGACCTTTTTGTTCATTTTTTGCTAAATCATGGAAAAATAAAGTATCTCACAATACTTTACCTCTGACTCCCGGTCTGCATTTGGGTCCTACATACTAAGTACCTGGAATCGTAAAAGAAGCTTTGAAAGATTTTTTTCATGCCTGTGTGTGGACGGGCCGTAATGGAGTGAAGAGTATCAGAAATAAGATAACTTTTATGTAGCAATAATACATATGAAATGTATTATATACATATTTTAAATTATATCAAAGAGCAACCAATGTTTGTTGGGGGGGCGCTGCCCTATTGTAAACGTAAATACATTGTGTTCTTTGCAATACTAAATCCCCCCACCAGAGGGAGACACAGCTCTTGGGGTCAGTTTCGTGATTTTATTCCCCTTCATTCTGTCAGATTTACAACATCTCCAATCATCATCAGAGTATGACAACACAAGCTTCCAGTCTATTCTAGTGCCCTCCGTTATGGATCACTCACTGCTATCAGTCCTCAATGTAACATTACATAACATCAACAGATTATCTAATGACAACCATGTATCTTCAAATCTGTTCATTTTAGTTAGGGGGTTCTCACAGTATAGCGACACACATCTGACGATCTTAAATAATATGATCCATTGCAGTAAATGGAGTAAACAGTATAAAAAGGAAAATGAGCACAACCTTAAAATGCAACATACAATATTGCAGAAATAACATGAATTAAATAAAAACATCACATACTGCCTTTTTACGTGTCTTTTTGTTTGTTGCACTTGTCAGGAATGAAATTTGGTTTCAAATGACGACAATGCTTTGGTTATATCTTTGACAATTTAAAATGCATTCTTATTATGATCTGATTATCAAATCTACATATAGTCACAAACATATTTTTTCTTTGTTCATATTCAAATTAGCCCTGTATTTAAACATCAACACTTTTTATAATTCAAATATATTTATCATGATCATTGTCAGTTTATAATGTGATCTGAACACCAGGTTGTATAACAGTGTCTGACTGCAGCTCTCCTCTCGGGAGATGACGTGTCTGCGTGACGCTGGTGGAGGTGTGGAGGAAAATGTATTTTTACTTTGGAAGAGGACGATGATATTTCAGGTAACACGATGGAAAAAAGACTTCCGCTTTGCAATTACATCCTTCAGAATAAAAGTAAAACATGAATTTTTCCATATAAATTATTAAAGTAATAACATTATTACATTGCATGACTATTACACTCAGGTCTGTTCTCTGTCGTGGATTTATAATGACTGCTTGTTTGAGTTGTGTGTGAATTTCGTGTATTTTATATGTCTGTCTGAGGCCTGTAGGATTGTAAATCACGCTTTTATTCTGAAAAGCAAAGGATAAACCCCAGAGGTAGGCTTCTTTCCTGTTTTGCCGGAGGAGCGGATGAAGGAGGTGATGGAGGGAGGAGGAGGAGGAAGAGGAGGGCTGATGTGTGCTGATCAGAAGCAGGTCTGATGATGATGATGATGATGATGATGATGCTATGAGTCAGAGAGCGGAGGGTTCAGGATGCTCACAGAGTAGAGAAGCCCCGCACACAGAGACAGAGGACCGGCTGAGACACGGTGAGTCCGCGCATTTCACCCACACAGCCCGGCGGCCGAGCACCTTACTCGGTCTGATCTCAGCAGCCGGCTCGGTGCTGTGGTGCTCTCATTTCATCACTGTGTGCGTGTGTGAAACAAACTACACAATGCGCGTGCAACGCTGTGCGCGCCCGTTCCTGATCTTAATATTGATGGGAGTCAGCCTGATTTACATGATGTGAGGAGATAATGAGACTGCAGCTGACTGAACCTGAGAACAAAGCAGCAGGTCAGCTGTGTGTGTGTGTGTGTGTGTGTGTGTGTGTGTGTTGTATAAGTATGTTCGTGACGACAGAGAACACGACAATCTGTTACTGCTGTCAAATATCTCAGGGGGAATCAGCACAGAAATATTCTAGGAATACTACAGTGATGGGCCTACTCCTAAATTAATGTTTTACAACAAGAGTATGCAGAATTTAAATCAGTAATCTGATCCAAACAAAAGGAATGTACTCCACTCCGTGGCGGCGCCAGAGATTTTCTCTAGGGGGTGCTGTGGGGTAGCTTGACGTTTCATAGAGGGTGCTCAAACGTTAAGGGTTTCGCATTAATGCACCAGCGCTACAGTTGCCTTTTCTGCAACACTCCCCACACGCACACGCAGTGTACCCTCGACTGTTACAATGAAGGCTCGGTAATCAGCTCACGGCATATAGGTGTAAGCAGGGGTAAAGTGCTATTTTTACAAGTGGAGAGTGGTCCTCACCTCCTCTAGTGGGGTCCGGGGGCATGCTCCCCTGGGAAGATTTTTTTTTAAATATTGAAGTTAAAAGCATCAATCTTGTGCACTTTGAGAGCAAAATGAAGAGATCTATGGATACATCTCTCAACATACATATGAAACAGAACTGTAAACAGATTGACTATTTCTTTATAGATATTTTACAAATCACTCCCCTTTTAAAACAAACCGTTTGAGACCCACTGAGATAACTAGACTAAAGTTAACTATCTAAACACTGAGAGTCCTTTACTTCACCTGAGCTGAGGTTATCTGAGACTCTCAGTCTGACAGGAGAGAGTTCTCCCTCCACCTTGTTGTTGAAAAAGCTCCTTATATCTGTTAGCTTGGCTAGCTAGCACCAGATGCTAACCACAACGATATCCGGTAGATACCCACCGGTGCGCTCTCTCTCTCTAGTGCGCACGCACACAAAATGGCTCGTGCCACACACACACACACACACACACACACACATACACACACAGAGAGCAGAGCTTGAATGAAACACAGAGACCCAGAAGTAAGCTACTTGTACTCACGAGGCCTATTATGTGCAGAATCCCTCTCGCTTTCAGGTGGTTTTGATTGAGTGTCCACACATGGACGTTTAAGGACTAAAAAACGATCCATTTGTCACTGTCTGTTAAGGCAATAATTTGGGCGCTCCAGGCTTAACAGGAAGTCAGCTGCAAGTGTCAGCAAAGTATTTAGCTATGGGTAGGTCAAAAATCGAAATGTTCTGCTGGCCATTGCCTAATCGTCCCTGTGTGTTGGCTTATGTTTTTGGTCAAACATTTATTTGTTTCACATTTGGCATTGATGTAAAATCACCAAATAATTTTTCTAATTTAATAAAAAAAAAAAACATATTTTATTTGGGGGTGCTTTGGCATCGCTGGGGGGCTGCTTCAGCATTACATTGTTTTTTTGGGTATTGTAAGCTGTGCACGATTGTTCTCAAAAAAAAAAATAGAGTTATTAATGTGGAATGTTAGGAGTCACAGTGAGCCGTTGTGAAGAATGCAGCCAGGATTCTGTGTGTGTGTGTGTGGTGTGTGTGTGTGTGTGTGTGTGTGTGTGTGTGTGTGTTGTGTGTGTGTGTGGTGTGTGTGAGATACTTCTTTTGATTTGTAGTCCGATGTTGTGAAGTTTTCCATTTTCCAAGTTAGTGGTGATAATACAGCATGCTTGTTTATTATTTCCTTGTAGCTAGGCATATCATTATGACTACACATGGGCTAAACGGTCTGCTATTAAAACACTATAGTTTTGTGTCATACCATTACACGTTATGTATGACCTTCTATAATGCGTAAGAAATGTGACGTAAGAACTGATTTTATTTAGTGAATGAGTTGATGAACCTCACCATCATCTCCTGAACTTTGTGCAGTGCATTATGGTCCTGTGCTCTGTCTGCACTGATGTTTTTATACGGAGTACAACACGGTTTCTGTCCTGGGCTCATTACTGTTTCAGTCTCAGGTGTATTTGATCAGAGGTGGCTTGTTATTTAGTATTTGGTATCAATAAGAAAGAGAATAAACTAGGATGCATTTCACAGATAACAAACATTCAATGAATTGTGTTGCTTACAGGCAAAAAAAAAGCACAATATTTGTTGTGTTTACCAAAACCTTTTTTACAACACTTTTACAAAGGCAGCCGATACTTTATTGGGTAGTGTAGTATTAGCACAGTTATTTAGACAGGTATTTCGTTTTAACATTCTTCACCTTATATTTTGTGGGTAAATGTGTTTAACGTGCTTTTCACTTTGTAAATGATCCAAGCATGGTTGAACTCCTTTTGGCACGGGAACTCAAGATGAACTCAGTTTTTCCATCCATCGCCTAAAGCTCAGTTTGTAGCTTTTAATGATCCTAAAATGGCCTGACGTGGCTGCAGAATCATCAGATCTACAGAATGTTCATTTCTGTAGCTGTGACGCTGATGGTCAGTTGGTGGTGATTTTCCCTGCCGGCCCGCCTCCGCACAAGGAAGTGACGTAATAAGATGTGGGACAAGGCGGGTAACCATGACAACTGCGTGCGCGATGATGACATGTTTGCACTGTGTCTGCATGTGTATAAATCTCTGCCTGTCTGT